GGAGGTGCTTAAAGCGGAGCAGGTGGAGGTGAAGAAGGAGGAGGTGCTTAAAGCGGAGCAGGTGGAGGTGAAGAAGGAGGAGGTGCTTAAAGCGGAGCGGGTGGAGGTGAAGAAGGAGGAGGATTCAGGCCGTGAGACGGGCCGACTGGTGATGACCATCAACGGCCAACAGAAGCAGCTCCCCTTTGGCCCCAATGACTTGCTGACGATGGCCACCATGCTGGTTGGAGACAAGGTGAGGACAAACGGGTCCTCCTGAGGGGACACCATGCTGCTGTCCTTCTGTCCAGTGACAGAAACTGACTGTGATTGTTTTCCATCCAATGTCCCTCTGAAGGTGCGCTTCAGCCTGGCGACTCACCAGGAGACGAAAGAGGAGCACGCAACCTTTGTAGAAATTCTTCCCGACTCCTTTGAAGAGTCCATCGAACAACGGCACCATGTAAGATCTCTGGGGTTTAGTTTCAACTTTATTAATAATCTCAGTTTTAGCCTCTTCAGGAGACTGTTCCTGCTGACTGAGTGGCGTTACGCTTTGATCCGTTTCATCTGGTGTTCCATCAAACCAGGGCATCGTCATCGAGTTCTCGGAGGAGTCTGGCCTCATCAAGTGTTCGGAGAACCCTCAGCTCTTCTTCCGGATGTCAGAGGTCATAGAGCGGAAGAAGCTGGAGCTGAACGAGAAGGTCGAATTCAGCATCGTCCCGGTTTGTTCCACCAGTTTCTCTAATTCAAACATTTTGACCGTTTTCTGTGCTGGAACCACATCTCCGTATATCTATGGCTGAAAATGTGTCTCTTATGTTTTTAAAGCATGAAGGAGGGAGGCAGGCTATCAGGATCAAACGTTTCACTGAGAAGGTTTTCCTCCCAGTTCGGAAAATTGGCGGCATCGGTGCTAGCAAAGCAAAGGTTAGCAGTTCCTGGTTGTTCTCATTTGTTGGGCGTCATGGTGAGCAGAGATCTACAGACACCAATACTCTCCTGATCTGATGTTTGTCCTCTGATTTGACAGATGACCATCAAGTTGACCAAACCACCTGAAGCAACTGAGTAAATGTTCTTTTTTTGGAGACATGTAAGATATTTAAAACGATCTGAGTGGAAAACTCTCCCTCTGACTTCTGATTTCTTTTGCATTTCAGAACTCAGAAACCAGAGGCAGAGAAAATGAAGGCAGTAGTTAAAAGTCTTCGGAATGATCACAGCGCCACTCGAACCCGGTACCGCCGAAGTAGGAGTCGAAGTCGGAGCAGAAGTCCCAGCAGGACCAAGGATCGCAGTAAGAGCAGGAGTCCATCAAGAGATCAGTTTGGCCGCGTGGTGAAAAAGAGATCTAGCTCGAGCAGGGAGCGCGATCGCAGTAGCAGCCGGCACAGACGGAGCAGAGACAGGTCCTACAGGTCCACCCGGAGCCGCTCCAGGAGTCACAGCAGAAGCCCGAGAAGGGACAGAGCAAAAAGCAAAGATGGCGCCTCCAAGAAGAGAAGTAGATCCAGCAGGGAGCGGGAGGAAGGTCACCGGAAGAGGCGGGAGCTGAGCCCTTCGCCGCGACGAGGTGGAGTTGTAGATAGTGAGTTGGCGAGGAAAAAAAGGGAACTGGAGGAACTGAACGAGATGATCGCCTATAAAAAGTCACTGGTTGAATTTGATCCAAGAACCCAAGAGCCTGGAGGACGGACCTGCATCGACTACGACCACGGCAGGATAACTTTACCACGGCCGATTCTAAAGAAGCGACCAGAAGAGTCGGAATACCACCGCCCCCCCTACAGCGACCCTTACTACGATCGACCGTACGGTCCGTACCCTGGCCGTCACTATGGGGGGCCCTACAGCGGCCCGTACGCTCATCCCTACTCAGACGGCGCTTATGGCGACCGGCCTTATGACGGTCGTCTCTATGGGGAGCCTCCCTACGGCGGGGCGCCCTCCGTCAGCCATCGCTACACCGATCGATATGACGTTTACAACGAGCATTACGATGAGCATTTCTACGACCCAGCATACAGGGAACGACCACCAGACAAACCAAGTCGGTCTGCAGATTCTCGTGACCCTTCGCCATTTTCTTCGACCAGCCAGAATCCTAATCGTTCTGCCAGCCCGGCGACCCAGACGGCTCCCACTCCCTCCACGTTCAGGCCTCCTTCTCCCATCGATTCTCCTCCAAGATCTCCTTCTCCTAAACAAAGACTGGGTTCACCACAGCAGCCTCCACCCGCTGAGAAACCCCCTCTGGACCGCTTCCTTGCCATGCTTAACAAGAAGGTCGTCGCCGAGAAGAGGTCAGAACCAGCAGACGACCTTCTGCCTCATGAGCGTGCTCTTCAGGATGGCGAGGGCTTCTCCAGGATCTTAGGTCTGCCGCGGGAGCCGCCCAGCACCGCTCTGCTGCATGAGGTAGAAGATAAGCAGCCGAGCCCCAAACCGCCGTCAGCTGAGCGAGCAGACGAAGGGGCGGAGCCTTACGATAAGATACAGAGTCTGCTGCGTTCCATCGGCCTCAAGCTGACTTCCGGAGAGGTTTCTAAACTGGCCAGTCAGGCCAAGGAAAACAGGTCCAAGTCTTCATCGGCTGAAAGAGAATCCAGACCTGGTTCTGTGGAGACGGCTCCTCCCCCCCCACCTATGAGATCCTCCAGCCTAGAACCGTCCAGCCTAGAACCGCCCAGCCTAGAGCCGTCCATCAGACCGAAGCCAGCCGGGTCGCCGTTTGAAGGATTCCTGGACCAGCAAGAGCTGAAAACCCTGAAGAAGCTGCAAAAGCTGCAGAGTCGCAGCAAAGCACCAGAGAGCACGCCGCTCGCCCCCTCCTCCCCCAAACC